AAGCCTGCTTCTCCCTCTCCCACTCTCCCTGCTTGTGTTCCCTCTCTCGCTGTGCCTCTCTCTGTCAAATAAATAAATAAAATCTTAAAAAAAAAAAAAGAATCTAATCACTGGCCTCAGACTCAACAAGCAGATTTGGGTTTGACTACGCAAACTGGGAATTTCCTAACAATTACGGGGTCCAGATAAATAAGTTTTGCATTGGGAATCGCTCTGTGGTGGCAGAATCTGGAAAGACTGGCACGGTTAGGGACTCCTCACCCAGCGCACTTAAGGTCCCTGTCCTCTCTCTCCCTTACCATGGTACCTGCTCCCTTCAACTGCTCCAGACAGACTTCCGCAGCCATGGAGGTTCTTCTTGCTCCTGAAATACAGAGAGCATGAGCTTTCTGAAAGCATGCGGGTGGAAACACATAGGCATAGTCTAGGAGTCAAGACAGGTCGTGATCTCTTGAGTTTCCACTTGCTCCAGGCCCTCTGTGGCTCCTGCCACTGCCCACTGCCCCGCTTCCTACCTGTCTTTGCGATTGTCCCCATATGCTGGGGGGCGAGTTCTGTTCTAAATCTCACACTGTCCAGTCTGCTCTTGCCACAACACAGCGACTCCCGTGCTTCTTAACTTTAAAAAAGAGAGAAGAAAAAGAACCAAAGTTTATTTTTATTCCAGCCTTCTTCCAATCTTCCTGGATTGGTGTGTGTGTGTTTCTTCCTTGCCCTGCTTGCTCTTCTTTATCGCTCCCATTTTCATTTATGTTTTTTTATTATCGCTCCCATTTTTATTTATGTTTTATTTATGCACTTACATTCTCCACATCCCAAACTTCCCTGGCCGTGTATGTGGTAGAAATACTTCCCTCTCTACCCACGGAGTAGATCACTGTGGCGGATCTACTGCAGTAGATAGCAATGATGCCGCATGCGCATGTTTGCTCTTCTGGGTGTGTTTGTCTTAGATTGCAGGCCCTCAGAGGTTAGCACTGCGGTGGGTCCCTCAGTGCCCAGAGCGCTTCTGTGTCATCGTTCGAAATGCTTGATGATGATAATATCCTTCTCTGCCAACACACGAGCTGGTGTGCTGCCAAGACTAGCTCCTTCCCACCTCCCTTAACCTCCTCTCAGTCTCCCAGTAAAATTCAGGTGGCCTCTTCCCCACAAAGGGTGTTCTCACTGAACTTGGATTCGGAAGACCTGAGTTTCAGTCCCAGTTCTGCCTTTTGCTAACGGTGTCCTCTGGCAAGCCGCTAAATGAGTCCTAGCCTCCTCACCTGTAAAAGGGTGACACTGTCGAGGTCCCTGATGAGGCCGGGGTGTGTTCGCAGCTGGGGAACACTCGTGAACCGTGAAACTCTCTGCGTGAAGGTCAAGGATCGTGATTACTCTCGCTACCGCCCCAGACCGCACACTGTTCTTGGTATCAAGAACTCAAACTTTACAGCGTTTATCACCTAATTTCACAAACCTTGAGTGAATTGAATGTTTCCAACTTGGGTAGAAAGCTAATGGAAAAGAACTTTGCTTTGAGCATTCGGGTTCTTGAGTTTCTCATCCAGGCACTACTTCATGAGGCTTACCTTGAGACAGTACATTTCAATCACTCTGGGCCTCAGTATCCCCATCCATAAAATGACCATGACAAGAACTTTCAGAAAGAAAAATGCGACATTAGAACATTATTTATATTGACTCAGTTTCCCCTTCAGTAACGTGAAGATAAATTATGAGAAAATAAACTTTGACTATGGATTATTTGTATTTTACTACATCGGACTCAAGTAGATCATAAGACTTTTGTATTTTGGTTTATTTTTCCCATCAACCTCAGGTTGTTGTGAAGTTGGAGGACTTAATGTCAGTAACATGAGTGGGGATCCCCAGCTTAAAGGTTAAGTGAGTCCAAAGCAGAAGTAACTTGGCCCCGAGTCACGGCTCAGGCCAGGAGGGGCAGAGCCTGTGTGTTTGTTTAGCAGTGACTTGGGGACTCAAGGACTCTCCCTGATTCCACATCTATCACGGTCGACAAATACCCCTTCCTCTCATTTCCCGTTTTCAGGTCTTGGTTCCCCCATCTCAGGGGAGCGGGTAGTGAAAGATCACAAAGGAACAGAACAGGAGAACAGGATAACCACGAGGAAATGGCCACTTAAGCTATTTTGGCTTTTTTTCTCTCTTTTTCCTGGCAGCCTAGGAGAAAAATGTTCCCCTAACCAAATGTACGATTGCCAGAATCTGTGTTTTTCTGAAACCTCGCTTCTCCCAGGGAGCCTGCCGAGGTTAATTGGAGCGGAGGGCTAGCTCCTCCTGATCCTGACCCACCTAGGGTATGTTTCTCAAGGCCCTTGTGTATTTATTCCCCACTCTGGTAAGACCTGAAGCCTTGACCTGTCTGCTACGTGGACCTTTTTCCTGTCTTTCATATTTGTTCACTGTTTGTGTTTG